CCTAGCACTTGGTCTGACTATAGACCTATTAGCTTATGCAACGTGACTAACAAGATCATTTCTAGAATCCTCAACAGCCGCCTCGCCCCTCTCCTCCCTCACCTTGTCTCTCCGAACCAGAGTGGACTCATCAAGGACCGAGTCATTAGTGATAATATCCTACTGGCTCAGGAAATGATACACGACATCTCTCATGCGAATCGAACACGAACCCCGAACCTCGTGCTGAAGCTAGACATGGCCAAAGCATATGATAGGGTCGAGTGGTCGTTTCTCAGAGAGGTACTGTCTCGGATGGGATTCCCTAACCGTTGGATTAGCTTTGTGGAGGCGTGTGTGGAACACTGCACATTCTCCGTTTTGATTAATGGTAGCCCCACGACCTTTTTCCCTTCTTCCCGCGGCCTTCGTCAAGGGGACCCCTTATCCCCTTCCCTTTTTGTTCTAGTGGCTGACTATCTCTCTCGCTGTCTTGACGGCTTCATTCGCGATTTTCCGAGGATGACCTACAGCACGCGTGGCTGTGGACCTTCCATTTCCCACCTTTCTTACACGGATGACATTATCATTTTCACTCGTGCGAATGATAATGGGCTAGTTGCTCTCATGAGTCTTTTGGACCACTACAGTGAGACATCTGGTCAGCTAGTCAGTGTTAGTAAGAGTACCTTTATCATGGACCACCACGTTGCAGACCATTGGGTCCACCAGATTCACGAGCGTACTGGATTTGCTCGTGGGGACTTACCCATCACTTACCTTGGGGCCCCCTTGTACAAATGCCATCTTTTCCATGAGCTTTTTATTGACGTCCGTCAGAGGATCATTGACCGGATTTCTGGCTGGTCCCATAGACACCTATCCTTCGGCGGCCGACTTGCTCTGATCAAGAGCACTCTCTGTGCCCTTCCTCTTCACCTTCTTGCAGTGCTTGACCCCCACCAGTCTACGATTCATGAGTTAGATCAGATCTTAGCTTGCTATTTTTGGAGCTATGGCGAGGGCCCGCGAGGTCGGTGACAGACCCACTGGGTAAAGTGGGACTCCATCTGTCGTCCCCACTCTGAGGGTGGGCTTGGGGTTCGGCGTTTCTCTGATATGGTTACTGCGTTTTCCTACAGGATGTGGTGGAGACTTAGGGAGGGTAAGTCCCTTTGGGCCCAATATCTCCTGAGGAAATATTGCCCTGGTGGTGCTGCTCA